ACGTCCCTCGGTGTCGCCTTACGCCTACCCACGACTTAATAGAGAGTAGACGTACAAAACTTTTGGAGCCAAAAATTAGTTATAAGAAAAAATTAAAAAAAATAAAATAGTATAGATACATGACATTGTGATTGGGGCAATCTTAACTCTCCATTCAGAATGGACGATTGGATAAAGGGAGGATAGAACTCCTATGCTATAGAGGAAGCATAGAAAGCTTGCCCATTACATATATAGGGCTAATTGGCTGATTCAGTCCAAGGGTAGGACCAGTGACGAACAATTTCTAATCCAGATCGCCGATTTTTTATTTGGATGAATGACTTTTCGAACACTAGAGTGGGGCAAGAGATGCCATTGTTAACCTTGATGGTTTTGGGTGAGAGAGAAAAATGCTTGAGGGACCTAGATATGGTTGTGGCTTTGTAATCAAAGAGAGAGGATTGCTAGAGAGAGCTAGAAATTAAGGTTGTGTTGAGCCTGGAGAGAGTAGCTGGATGATGATATGTGTGATGGCGCTGACTTTTACTATACCCCAATCATGGGCAAGGGCAACATTCCACAAGCAAATATAAGAATAATAGAGAGAGACAAGACACGCCATACGCATAGAATACGGTAGTAGTTTGCTTGTATTTGCTATACATTTGTTTATATGCGGTAACAAAGGGAGATCCTTTGTTTTCTTACCTATTTATGTTAGTTATGGATTTGGATTTTCTCAGTAGATAGTTGAACTATGCAGTTTTGCTAGGTATGCTATCCAATGCTTTTTCTTCATTTTTTCTATGTTAATAATGCGGTTATATTTAGTGAAGCTTTTGGTACCGATGTGGATGCTATGAAATCTATTCTTTTGAGATTTGAAAAGACTACAGGCTAAAAGCTTAATATTATCAAAAGCCAGTGGTTTAAAAAATGGATTGGTATTCTGGATTGGGCACCCCAAAAATCCATCTAGATCGGTGAATCGGCGATCTGGATCAGGAATTGACCGAATCGGTCGGATTAAGCCTTAAATAAAATCCAAAAAAATTATTAAAAGTCATTATAAATGTTGTTTTTTAGGAATCCAATAATAAATGGGGGTACTGCATTATTAACTTTCATTTTTTTCATCAATAATATTGAGATGTTCTTTCCCTGTATGAACTTATGTTAACTATTAAATTCATATCACACAAAAGAAAAATCATAGGCATTCATAGATGAGAGAGAGAAAAAGAGCTAACATGCTCCAAGCCTATATTGTATTACCTTTACATATCTAATTTAAGCTTATAATAATCACAGCTTAAATGCATGTTTGGAAAGCATGATACTTGTTGTATTACCTTTTTTTTTTACAAGAAATACTTGTTATGTTACCTTTTTTTTTTTACAAGAAAAATATGATACTTGTTGTATACCTTTTATTTTATTTTTGACAAGAAATACTTGTTGTATTACTTTTTATTTTTTTGACAAGAAAAATAAGAAAATAACAAGAAAACTTGTTGTATTACCTTTTATTTTTTTTTTACCAGAAAAATATGATACTTGTTGCATTACCTTTTATTTTATTTTTGACAAAAAATACTTGTTGTATTACTTTTTTTATTTTTGACGAGAAAAATAAAAAAATAACGAGAAATACTTGTTGTATTTGGAAGATGGTGCCGCACAGGAAGTTCGAAAAGATGGTGCCGCCCAAGAGGTTCGAACTAGGGACCTTCAGTGGGTAAGAAAAACGTGATAACCAAATATATCAGAGCTCCACTTGTTGTACTATTTACATGAATAAAATGTTATATTAGAAAACAAAACTATATTAAGGAATTGTCCCACATCGAAGAGATATGGGAAGAAGAGGCCTTATAAAACAAGAAAACCAACCCCTACTACCATGAAATATTGATGCGTGGCCACGTGTACATGGATTTATCGACCCTGATGGCATCAAGGTGATCCATGACTTTATTTTAACGTGTAAGGGAAGATTGTAATGTCATACGTCGATCTATGACGTCATACACACGATTTATTGTACAGAATCATCAGTTCTTCTCTAGAACCCGGCGATTCAACGTTTTACACAGAAATCGACACAGGTGCTGATTCCCGTATCGACTCGGGTGAGTCCGTTGTGACTCGTCGTTTTTTAAAACACTGCCAAAGGCAACGCTTTCTTCTTTGGTGTTGCATAGGGTACCGAAAACGTGATCCTAAAAGTGCTTGGCTTTGGTGAAGGAACTTTGTTGGTGAAGTATCTAGGCTTATCACTATTCTATGGTAGTTTAAGCACTCTCACTGTCACAGTCTGGTTGGAAAAATGAT